AAGTCTGATTCTCCTCTTTCTTCACATCTTTCAAATCTCTGCTTAGCTGCCTCTTCAAGGAAGGCTTCTCTCATCCTATCTGACCTAGCTCAGCTTGGTTATTCTTCCAGTTTACTGTTTATTCCCTCCAGTGCACAACACTTATCACAATCTGCACTTGTACTGACCCCTGTTCACTATTTTAGGCCACCGCAGGAATGTCACCCCCCATGAGTGCAAGGACCTTTGTTTGTCACCACCTAATTTCCTACTATCAAAGTACAACATTTTCAGACTCAAAGGAACTCCTGAATATGAACGTCGTATTAACAAGAAAATGCCTGAGGCCATTCTTTCCCCAGAATGTTCACTTATCCCCTACTATTTTTACCATTTTTATCTGTTTTTTTATATTACCTTCTAAAATTTGTTTGGGGGCTTCGTTTCGCATAAAAAATGTTAAAGATATTTCTATTACAGAATCGGGTTAAACTCAGGACCAGGTATCCTAATTGTAAAGCATACACCAGCAAGCAAATAAAACTAGGACACCCAGCAACTTTCCCTTTTCTGGTCCAACATCCTAAGGGTAGATTTTAAAAAGCAAAGTCAACTCGAAGAAACTGGCAACAAATAGAGGGAATGTGAGAGTTCAAAATGTCCCAGGGATAGATTCAACTAAATCCTTTGGCCCCACTAAGCGATCCCACCCCTCCGACAAGGCCGCTCCGGGGACTAACCCAGGCCAGCGGAGGAGGGTTCCTCTCAGATCTCTCTTCCAGGATGGTCGCCTCGGCGCGTCCCTCGGCGCGTCCCCTGGCGCCCTCGTCCTCCTGGACCCTGCCCTTCAGTCTTGAGGACAGGGATCCAGAGGTCACCGACTCTCCAAGGCGCAGAGGTCTCCCTCCCGGCAGTTGTGCCTTTGAAGGATGTCAAGTAGAGAACTACCCCACCCCACCAAACTCCTGATCTCATGCACCAGTACAAACTCCGAACTGACACTCGGCCAAGCCAAGATGGCAAACCCTAGACTGAGCGAATGAACGTTCCTCGCTCCTCCCGGAGCCCGAGCCGCGGCCACGCCGCCCTCGCGAGGCCTCCTGGCCTTTCCCGGCGAGGAGTCCTCTGGGGGCTCCGGGCGCAATCGCCGCCCGGCGGCCAAGGACCCGGCTCCGGCTTCCCGAACTACAGATCCCAGGGTGCCTCTGGGACTCCTGCTCCCTCCTACTCCCGCTCCCTCCCACCCTGCGTCTCCTCCTCCCCGGCCCTCGTTGTTTTGGCTGGAAGTGCTCCGGCGGAGTTTCAGAGAAAGTCTGGGCAGAAACCGGAGCCGGCCCGAACGTGGGAAGGGGAGGAGGCAAGGGAGG